CTAGGGGGGTCTCTGTCCCTGGCTTGCTTAAACGCGAGCTGGACCCGAGGGTGAAAACGCGAATGCGAGCCCGTTGCCTGGTCAGGTCGCCGGGCTGCCTGGGGCACAGCGCCCCTCCCTTAACAGGGGAGTACTCTGTGTCCCTCAATAGTTTTGGGTTCCCCTCCCCTCCCCCGGACTCCAGTACCACCCCCCCGGACTACAGGTACACCCCGTGACTACAAGTACCTCTCACCCCCCCCGGACTACAGGTACCCCCCCCCGGACTACAGGTACCCCCCTAGCCCCCGGAACTACAAGCCCCCCCGCGTTCGCTTGCGTGTGCGTGCGTGCGCGTGTGTGCGTGCGCGCGTGTGCGTGCGTGTGTGCTTGCGTGTGCGTATGTGCGGTTCCGTGCGGTTGCGTGCGCGCGTGCGCGCGTGCGTGTGAGTCTGTGCGTGCATGCGCGCGTGCGCGCGGGCGTGTCGTGTGCAACGATGCGCGTGAGGTCCCGCGCGCGAAAGTACTAAACACCCGCGTGCGTGGAACCACGCGTGCTTTGAGGCATGACCATATGCCCCTCCACCCCCCCCGGACTAGAAGTACCCCCATGTGCGCCCCCCCCGGACTACAGGTACCCTCCCCCGGACTACTCTGTGTCCCTCAATAGTTTTGGGGCCCCGGACTACAGGTACCCCCCCGACTACAAGCACCCCTCCCCCGTAACTACAGTACCCCCCCCTCCCCGGACTAACGGGTACCCCCCCCGGACTACAGTCCCCCCCCCCGGACTAAAAGTACCGCCCCCCCCGACTACAGGTACCAGCCCCCCGTCTACAGGTACCCCCCTAGCCCCCGTACTACAGCCCCCCCGCGTTTGCTTGCGTGTGCGTGCGTGCGCGTGTGTGCGTGCGCGCGTGTGCGTGCGTGTGTGCTTGCGTGTGCGTGTGTGCGGTTCCGTGCGGTTGCGTGCGCGCGTGCGCGCGTGCGTGTGAGTCTGTGCGTGCATGCGCGCGTGCGCGCGGGCGTGTCGCGTGCAACGATGCGCGTGAGGTCCCGCGCGCGTAAGTACTAAACACCCGCGTGCGTGGAACCACGCGTTCTTTGAGGCATGACCATAATGCCCCTCCCCGCCCCCCCCGTACTAGAAAGTACCCCCATGTCGCGCCCCCTCGGACTACAGTTACCATCCCCCGGATACAGGCCCCCCCACCCTCCCCGGATACATACCCCCCCCCCGACTATAGGTACCCCCCACCCCTGACTACCAGGTACCCCCCAGAACTATTGGGACACAAGTAAAGTAACCCCCCCCCCGACCACAGTACCCACCCCCGGACTACAGTCACACCCCCCCCGGACTACATACCCCCCCGGACTACAGGTACCCCCCCCGGACTACAGGTACCCCCAGAACTATTGAGGGACACAGAGTAGCACGCCCGCCCCGCTAGCGTACTCAGGAGAAGGAGAGGCAGAATAACGGATTGCAGGAGGCGGGCGGCTGCCGCCTTCAGTAGGGCGGCGGGTCCCCCCCCTGGGTGGCCACTGAAATTCAGGGCAAGTGCACAGCGGGCGCAGGTTCCTCCTCCCCCCCGCCTCCTCCTCCCCCCCCACCCCCCCACGGACAACTGCTCGATGCGCCGTTTCTTATCTCTCCGCGGAATCGTCTGCCTCGAAATGGGACCGAGCGGCAGAAGACGCCGAGGAGCCAGGAAGGGAACAGGAGAGGAGGGCAGCCAAGTTAAGAAAAGGGGCAAGCCAGCAGCCGAGGCCCCCGACCAGGGGGGAAGAGAGGGGAAGGGACAGCTGCGGAAGGCAAAGCCTAGCAAACGAACTTTGGCAAACATGGTTGTTCAAAACAACTGTTCTAGCTATACAACAATTGCAATCAACAGCTCTGGCCTGCATCCATGTTTTATTGCTGCGTACACCTCATGCCATGGATGTATGTGTCCAAGCCGTAACACGATGTCAGAAACATGCAATTATCCACTGTCTATGAATATTTCGTATACGTGATCCAACAAATTAATAAACGCGGCTGTGGTGCCCTTCTCCTCGTCTGCTGAAAAACTGCCCTCATCCCGATAATCCGGTTCATTGTTTGTGTAACGATATGCACAATTTTCCAGTCCGTATGGAAACTCGTCTAACATCGATTGAAGCTGATCCGGGCTGTCTGAATTTCGAATCGCGCCAATCAGCTCTCCAAAACAGATGTCTTCTGAGCTACTCCCAATGAGCCCCTCTGTGTTCAACGGCGTTGCGCCCGAGATGAAGAACTTCGGTCCGTTGGGCTCCGTCTCAGTCGCTGGCGGGGTACTCTCCCCAGCACCGCATCGGGCCTGCCAGGCATTGACTGATTGACTCCCGTCTCCCTCCGTTGTATATGCAACCTGCGCTTCCTTCTCGTCTTGGGTTGCGTCGTCCTCATTGCGGGAACTTGTGTGCTGGCTCTCCAACGTGTGGTCTTTCAGTTGTTCTGCGAAGTGCTCCAACATGCAACTTTCTCAAATTCTATACGCTGATCTTCTGGTCTCTGCTCGAGTCCCGGCGGGGGTGATAATGATAAGTCTTTCAATCGTCCATCCTGGCAATATGGTATTTTTTTGCGTGGGTGCGGCGAATACGTTGACTTGGAGATCCCGAGAGCTCGAAATCACATGCGGCACAAAACAAATCCATCAGAAGCCGAATACGCGATGCACGTTACGATATCGGATGTGTGGCTCCGCTGCTTCCATGCCCGTGCTTCGCTAGGTGGCGGGTCCCTCCAGTCCCCCTGCCCCCCGAAGCCTGCGGGCATGGACCGCAATACTACCTCGCGTACGATTCTGCAATCCTCTCGGCTGGGCAGGATTCGACTCCATCGAACGGCAGCCTGGGAGGAGGAGGAGGAGGAGGAGGAAGAGGAGGGGGAGGAGGAGGAGGAGGAAGGGAGGTGAATCAACTGCCAAGCAGTTTCTTACCGGAACGGCGGGCCAACTGGGCGCTCGTCGTTCCGAGGGGGTGCCTCTCGCAGGGTCGTCTTTCTGGGGAGGGGAACTCGGGGCAGGATGGCCTCATGCAACGTCGTTGGTGCATGCTGGGCTTACTCTGGTTCTCCTCATCCTCCTCATCCTGTTCGTCATGCTCCTCCTCCACCTCCTCGTCCTCCTCGTCTTTCTCATCATCCTCCTCTTTAAAGGCGACCCTGGCACACGCGTCGGTTCCCAATGAAGCAGCCCATCCAGAACAATCTGCTGCCCCGTGGGGACCCCTCATCCAGAAATATCCAAGACCCCTGATTGCGTGATGTTCTTCCCCCATGCCGTCTGCCCACGCCAGTAGCCACATCGCAGAATTCACCTCCGTGAACTCCAAGAATGCTCCTGAGGTAAATACCCCTGCTCCTGGACGGCCAAAGGGAAGCCCCTGGTGCCCAAAGACGGCCCCAGGAAGGCCCGACATGCCAACGAAAAGAAACCAAGAAGACGCAAGAATGCGCCACGACGGACCCCAAATCCGCCACCCCAAGGCACCCCAATCGGCAACATGTGCGCCCCGGACAGCATTTCACGTAGAGGGGTCGGCTGAAGGGCTCTCCTGGACATTTTCTGAAACTCTACGATGCTACATCGTGACACTTATTGTAGCTAGACGTCCACCTCGCTTGAACGGCGTGCCCATGGGATTTTCGTATTCCAATGTGTTTTGTTTGGGGAGGACTCTTAGTTTGAAGGACTGGTGATGAAGGGACTTTGAACGGGAGGGTGGTCGCAGCATTGAAGATGCACCTAGAGTTTGGTCTGGCTGGTCATCATCTTCCACCTCCTCCTCCTCCTCCTCCCGCTCCTCCTCCCTGATCCCCCCCCTCCTCCCCGTGGTCCCTCTCCGTCCCCTCCTCCTCCTCCTCCTCCTCCTCCTCCTCCTTCTCGTCCTCCTGGCCCCCCCCCTCCAAAGCCCTCCGCCTCCCCATCATCCTACGAATCCAACCTGCGAATCCTTCTTCATCGCTCTTCCGCGTCAAGAGGCCACTCTCGTCGCACCGCTATTCTTGCTGCTGCAGCGGGTCGGGCGTTGCATTGCCCAACACTTCATTACAGCTTGTATTTCTGAGGCTCTGGGCTTGCAGTGCGTACGCGGATAGAGAGCGGATCGTTTTCTAAGTCGCGATCTCTCTTGGGAAATCTTCACCCCTCGTGATGCCACAACTCAACCACTGCAACCAATGGACATGTCCATTTCGCGCTCTCGGCAGAGACATCGGGACAGAGAGGGATAGACAATGGTAGACAACGGACGACCATGGGAGACAAAGGGAGACACCAGGATATACTGGAGATATGGGAGAGGATAGGGATAGAAATGCGGACGCGGACAAGGAAAGACCATGGGAGACACCAGAAGACAACATGACATAATGGGAGACCATGAGAAGCAAGGTCACCCGACCGATTCCGCACTCGCCAGCGCACAGACTCGGTCTTTAAAACACCAATATAGAAACCTGACGGACAAGCCGCTCAAGGGGGGGCAATAAAACTCGAGGACCCCTCTGGCGCAAGATCCCTTTTTCTTCATGTCGACTCCCGGCGCTCCTGGAGACTGTATGTTTTCACAGTTCCGCGATGACCCAGGTTGTCGGGCCTCCCGCCCGCCCCCCCCCGATAACCTGACCCTGTCCGTTGCGCCGAAGGGGTATGCAGTACTGGTGCGTGTGGGCACACATGGGGCTGCCCGAAGCGAAAAGGATTGGTCATCGGCTGGCACCTCCCGCGGGGAGGCTTCCCGAGGCGAAAGGGATTGGTTATCCCCTACCCCCCCACACTTGGACGGAGCCCCGGCCCCCGCCGCGAAACAAAAGCCGATCGCCTGGCAGAGGATGAAGCCAGAGCCCGCGGGGCCTCGTGTAGCCTTTCGGGCACTCCTGAAGGATCGCCTGATCCCGACCTTCCCGATTGCCTCTGCCCTCGCGGGGGTCGTCGCCCAGGGTCGGCGGCACCGGCCGCAAGGCCTTAGCAACAAGACCCGATCTCCTGGCAGAGGACGAAGCCAGAGCCCGTGACGCCCTTCGGCGTCTGGATGCGCGCCGCGGGCAGGATCATCTGGTCGCGCCGCACCTCCCAGGAGCCTGGGCCCCGGGGGGGCACAGCGGCGGCTCGCTCGGCAGGAGGCGCCAGCGAGGTCGACCGACGAGGCGCCACGGTGGGGGGGAGGGCGAGGGGCGAGGGGGCAGGAAGGGTTAGGGCGGAGCCGAACGGGCGGGCGGGGCCACGGGAGGCACAGGCGGCGAGCCCAGGATTTCCAAGGAGGCCCCCACTCCCCGCAGAGGACCCCATCACGAGGCCCAGGGGGGCCCCAGGGGCTCCAGGATGCAGCGGAGAGCTGGGGGCACCTTGGGCCAGGGGCTCCCTCAAGCCGCCCCCGAACGAGAGAGGCGGGCGGCGCCGCCGATCTGCTGATCGTGTCGCCGCTGCTCCGTGAACGATCGCGTCTCCGGGAGGAGGAGGCCTTCTCGGAAGGCGGCGGGGCTTCACAGCAGCCCTCCGGCCTTCTGAGAGGCTGGTCGCGTCTTCGGGGAAGGCCTCGGGAACTTCTCAGAAGGCCCGGGGCGCCCCGAGCCTTTTGGTGGAATACCTCCTCCTTCTGACTTCCCCCCCAGGCTCGCCGCCGAAAGGAAGGGTAGGGGTGTGCGGGATGAGGGGGGAATGGGGAGGGGGAGTAAAGAAAACGGCGGAGGAAGAGAGAGAGCGAGAGGGAGAGACAGAGAGAGAGAGAGAGAGATAGAGACAGAGCAAGCGAGCCCCCATATACACTAGCCTGACGAAGGACCCTACCCCCTGCGCAGCTGCGAGCAACGCATGGTATGATCATCTACTTATACGTAGCGCGCCGCGAGAAGGATGTAGCTTGGGGCACTGCGGATGGGGGCGGGGGCCTAGACGCGCAGAGGCGACCTGAGAGGTGAACTGACCTCCCTGTGGGCCACGAAACGTGTGAGGAGCGTGTCGAAATTGACGTGGTGCCGCCATGCGAGCGGTGCCACTGGGGCCTCACTTGGAGCTCCGAACTCCATCTTGGGACCAACGTGTGAAGGATGTGCATAAATTTTGGCGGACACTGCCATGCGTCCGAAGACTGCCAAAATCGCCGATGCCTTGCAACAACAAGACCCGGAGACGCAACCCGCACAACAGATCACATTGCGTGCGATAGTCGTATGAAACAAGTATCAACACATACGCAGATCAGTTGTCACCAGAATTGCACTCACTCGGGAAACCTGGCCAATATTGACATCCGCCACAGGGCCGCAGGCTTTGAGTGAAACGTCCTCCAATCTCATCGAGCACTCTTTCGAGGGCCCGGAGCCCCAACCAGCAGGAGCTTCGAGGGCTTGTCACATGACTGTTCCTGAAGGTATAGCACATTGAGACACCGATGGTGGTTCCGATGATTTCGTGCCTGGCGGGGGAGAAGCGAACTTGCCCCAGGAGCCCTCCAGAGCCAGGATGGCCCCCTAGACCGCAAAATGCCCCCAAGAGGCCCTGGGACCTGCACAGAAAGGGAGGGCCCAAGTCAATTCACAGAGTCAGAACTTGAAAGAAAGCTGATCAGCCCATGGGGCCACCCGTATGCGTCGACGCGCTTTGGCCGCAGCTCTGTTGGCTGCTATCCTGGCCACCTGATCAGCTGCGAGGCCGGGGCAGGGGGCGGGGCCGAAAGGGGCGAGGCAGGGAAGACAGATGGGGGAACCCCGTCCTCTGGGGAAAGAGACGGGTTTCCAGCCTCGTTGGGCACGGAGACGCGGCGGCTGCCTGTCGCTGCCGCGGCATCTCCCATCTGGGAGAGCTCCCGCGGCGGAGGGTGGCCTGAATCCTCGGCAGGGAGGCGGAAGGAGCCAACCGGAGTCGAGGGCGAGGGAGGAATCCAACGGCGCGCCTCCGGATCGCCGCGTTTCCTGGATGTCGCAGCGCGCTGGGCGAAATCTTGGTCTTCCGAGAAGTCATCTGACAGCTCGACCCTTAGTTATGATAACCCTGCGTCTGCTGTATCCTCCCCCTCCTGAGGGGTCACATCCGAGATGGGGGAAGGAGGTGGGACATCCTGTTCCTCTGATGACCATGCATTATGTAAAGATTCGCGCATAGTCCGCGCGATGGCGGCACACACTATGCCAGGGTACGTATTTTTGTCGCTGGTCCTGAAAGTTCGGCTATCTTCTCTATTGCCTATAAGCGCGGCATCTATTCCTCTATCTCGGCAGCCCCTCCCCCCGTGACCGGCCGTGAAAGACTGACGCGTCTTGGGGGGCCTCAGAGCGAGAACCCTGGCGGGGGCTCTTCCTATTGTTTCGGACGTTGCGTCCCGCTGCGCACACTGGTCAACACCGATGGTGATGGCAACTGGGCAATACTCGGTTGATGTGAGCGGGAGCCAAATGCAACTGGGAACTGCCTGCGCTTCCCACGCTGCTAGCTGGGGCTGCTCAAGCCATAAACACCGGCCTGTACTGCCATGCTCTGCCACGAGGATGCTGAGTGCTCTGATGTGTTTTGCCCACCTCTCGTATGTGCCGTGCCTTGTGATGTCGCATATTATGGAGTCGGCCGCTCTGTCGATGTAGAGTACCGTGCGTATGACATGTGCGCTCACGTTCACGCAGTCGCTGTGGTGCTGCATGCCACCTGTTAGTCTTCTCCCACAATATGTATTCAGCATATATATATAAACATATCAGATCGTTGTATCCTCCATAGCACTTGCTGTGTGGCTGATTCTTGAATGCCCTGTGGTCGGAAGAGGCAGTCTCTTTCCTGATCGGGGTCGATGGCCTCCAAGGGCCGTGGGCCAGGTCGCTCATGCCAGAAATTGGTCCTGGTCAGAAGCGCTTCAGGAGTAGGCTCTTTGCTGGATTAACGCAGAACTTCACTAGTAGCGCTTTCCCTCCACATGCGAAAATGCCCAGGCTGATTCCTCCAGCACGCCGTCGGCACACTGTGCTGGGATAGCTGGGCGCGCCGTTCTCCAGCGTCCAAGACCTGCCTGTCGCAGGTCCTGTTCGTGCTGGCGTTCTCTCTCTGATGCCTACTTATGTAGGCTGGCACCATATTCCAGTGCATTGCACGTGGACGTGATCAGTTAACGTAGGGACCTGTAAAATGCTTGCACAGCGTCCACCAGCAAACACATGATTGAAACCTTCTGGACATGGCCAAAGTTGGGGAGCGATCTGAGTGCGAAGCCTGTCGAGTCGCCTCCTCTACCTGCTATTCCTCCGAACTGTGACTCCTCAGCTTGCTTGTTCCAGTAGTCTCCCCCCTTCCACTGTAGCACGGTCTTAGTGACGATTGGAAAGCAGTTGCGAGCTAAGCCGGTGCCGAACTCAGCCAACAGCCTACCCGAGATGCCGTCCAGGCTGGGCGGCGAGGCGCGAGACCGCTTGCAGGCGGTCTGACACCGAGCGCGTGCTGGCAGAAAAGCTCGCGCTTGGACCCCATCCGTTGACCTCAGCCTCTGGCCAAGGCGCGAGCATATCATGGGCTGCCTGGGCTTGCGCGAGCGGAAAAACTGCACTGGGCCCCTCCTTGCCAAAGTGCCTTAGCAATATGTCGGCTGCCTCAATCGCATCTGGGTCTGGCGTGCCGTTGGGATGCCTTACTACGGGCAATGACCTCAGTAGTGGTCGTTGTTTCGGACCCGTCTCCCATCCGTCGTAGAGTAGCAAATGCCTTATCCGTGTGATGCTTGGGCCATTGTGTGAATAGTTGGCCACCTAGTGAGCGGTAGTACTGGCTGGTCGCCTACTGAACTGTGTTTTACAATGAATGTGTGGTGTAACTGTGTCCTTCCCCAGCATGCGGTACCCTGTCCTGAAAACAAGCGTCCCCGTTTGTGCGCGCACTGCACAAACAATGACAATCCCGTCCGTGCAGGGTCGTATAGGCAAAGACATGCACAATCAAAAATCTCCGCTCCCGTCTTGTGCACAATGCGTAGGCACTTGGCTCCTCTGCATGTCGTGGTGCCCGTGTGCTGTAATGGCTGTGATTCCATGAGTGCCTCCATGAGACCAGTACTTGGCGTGACGTATGTGCGCATGCTGCATTTCATATGTCCCACCAGTATCTGGAGCGGGGGGATAGTGTCGTAGCGGGTCACAAAACATGTACGCGTCGACGTGCCAGGCATGGCGCGTGCTGCGCGCCCAGAGCAGGAAGGGAGTCGCTCTTCTGATTATTTCAACCTGTGCGCGGAGAGCGCGGGTACGTCATGGGCGCGTGGCGCGACGGTCGATGGCCGCCAGCGTGATATTCTGCATCCTGCACTGGCGTGGCTGCCTCCAACTCTCGGTCCTGCGCACTGTGAATGCAAGCTGCATCGCCTCTCCCACGTGCGAGGCAAGCATGTGTGTGGCCAGTGTGATGCAAGTCATATTCCGCCCCAGGCGCCTCTGCAAGCAGCACCTTAAACTTGCTGCCCGCCTTTGGGTCGTCGAACAAAGCAAGATCCTGCTGGGCCATTTTGCGTTGCCGATCGCTCTTGTGCGTGCCCTGAGGTTGGAGGCTTGGCTGTCCGCCACTGATGCAAGCGCGCCTCTGATGCTTCCGCCGCACTTCCTGCCCCGGGGTAAGGAGCGTGCGGCGCCGCGATATTGCGTGTAATGCCTGGCCCCCCGCACGGTGGCAGTGAGCCTAGTCGGCTCAGCGTGTAAGACCCTGCGCATGTCTTCCCTGATGGTGTAGCCCTGCGCATCTATATGTGCCCGCTGGCCGCGTCTTGTGAGCCGGCAACCTGGTTCCCTGGGCCCGAGCGACGTAGTAGTCCTGAGCTGTAAAGCCGCCTGCAAGTTGCACGATTCTTCCTGGCCCTGGATGGCCGTCATTTAGTTGGTTTGCACACATGCTGCGATGCAGAATGATAACGCCCGCCGTAGCAACCCAGAACTTGGGGCACTTGCCAACTGTCTCGCGCTGGTGCGCAGCATGCTGAGGCGGGCCATCCTGCTGGCAGACCTTGGCACTAAGTGGCGGTCTAAGTGGTGCGCCTGAGGCGGGCGGAATCTGGGCGCGCCGCTCCGCGGCAAGGTAGTCCTGCCCCATCCACCTCAGCGCCTGTTGATGCCATGGCAGGCTACTCTCTGCTTTCCAGTTTGGCACAGGTGGGTGAGTAAGCTGGTGCATGTCCACAAGACGAGCTGCGGCATCTGCCCTCTCGTTCCACGCATGGTCGGAATGTCCCAGAACATGTTCCCAATACTAATTGGAATGAATGCGGTGTAGTATCTGACCCATGCTGTCCAGGTTTCCTCGGGGGCCTCTGAGGGGGCCATTGCGAGCATCAAAGGAGTCGCTTCTGCGTGTAACCTGCATGTTGCCAGTATATATGCAAACAAGTAGTAACTGCTGAAATGCGCTTGCAGTGGTGATGGGCCATGCTGTGGCCAAGATGCCCGCTTCAGATTCTGCAGCAGTAGATTGCAGAGATGTAGGGTACATACTTGTGTTGACTCAAAAGGAACCTCCCAAGTAGCCGTGTAACCATGTGTGTTCAGGTGCTGCTGCAGGACCACGCTGGCTCGCAATTATTCCCCTCCCCGTCTTCATACCCCCCAGCTGCGTCGTCCGCGAAAATGTCCAGACGCTTAGGTGGGATGCCTGGGCCAGGGCCCAGCGTGGAGAGACTTGACCTGGTGGCTGAGTGCTAAAAGCTGGCATGTGCGACCGTATCGGCAAGTAGTTCCCATGCCCCTCTTGTTGGAAGAAGGTCCCGGGCATTCGCCAGTTTGGGGATGGGGCTGGCAACAACTCCGCGGCAATTGGATTCGGCCCCCCATGACGGGGTGGTCGGGTCCTTTTGAATTCCCGGAAAGATGTCTGACAACTCCTCTCAAGCACGAAACAGTATTTGTCATGACTCATCTTCTTGGCCCTGGCGGGCCGATCACGGACTGGGCTCGTCTCTCATGCCCATGTCGATGTCGTCATCGTCGGTGGCGGCCTTGGCCTTCTCGGCTGTCGCCCTGCGGGCGCTGCCCTTGTCGAAGGCGACCTTGAAGGCGCTGCCGAGGAAGCGCTTGCTGGCTGACTTGTCCACCGCGATCCTCATGCTGCTCTTCTTGGGGATGATCTGGGGTCTGCTGGCTTAGCTGATGCTGATGCCGTCCTTCCTGCTCTGGTCGTTGTCGCAGCCCTCTCTGCTGGCGCATCTGTGCGTTAACCTGGTGCTGCCACTTGTCCTCGTGCTGGGTGAGGCGGCCATGGCGCCGACACTGCTGCCGGATGTGCTGGAGCCGCGCCTGCGTGGGCCTGTTGGCTCGCTGGCGCTGGTGCCTGTGCCTGGCTCTGCCCCGCAGGCTGTGCCATCGCTGCGTTGCTGATGACCTCGGCGATGGCCTGCTGGATGTTCGCCATCGTGGTGGCGAGGCCGCTGACCTGGGCTGCCAGGTCGATGTTGGTGGCCTGCACGGCTGCAATGCACGCTGCTTTGGTTGCCGTCTGACTTGGACTCTGTTTGGCATCCATGGGTGGTGAATTGGCCGACGCGGTAGCTGTCCACGGCGTGGGTGGCACTTCTTTCTCCTGGCCGCCTTGTTCGTCATCCATGATAACATCCTCTCCTTCTACTTCGTCCTCGAGGCGCTCAGAGTGAGTTTGCAGGTCCTTTGCCTTCTGCGCATCCTCGAAGAACGCCGGTGCGAGGGTGGCCGCTTTCTTGTGCTCGTCAAGTGCCTGGTCCTCCGCTCTCAAGGCGTCACTCAAATGTTTCCGGATTCTGTCGACATATGTATTATGCTGCTCTGTGCGGGCCTTCGGATCCTGGGCGTATATGATCATGTACAGTGTGACCGCAGAATATTGCTCTAGGTCTGCGATGCGGGTTGATCTCTGACCTATCTGGTAGGCGCTGTTGATATGCCTCTCCAGTCCGTCGAGGCTGATCTTCAACTGGTCTCGATGAGCAATGATATCCGTCTTCGACGTGGGCAATGGCAACAACAGTCGATGTTTCATGGCCCCCTCCGGCTGCGCTGGACGAGGCAGTGGTGGCGTGACCTGGACCTTCGGTTTCCTGTTCGGAGCGTGCGCTGACCTGGCCCTTCTCGGGCGTGGTCCTCCTCCTACGTCTTCTTGCCACAATGCCTTTGGTGTGTCCAGCTCGAGGTCCACTGTGGCTTCCTCGTGCGAGACTGGTATATCCACGGCGGCGACAAGTCAATTTCGTCTGGGACACTGTCTCTGCTTTTGTGTGGCTTCGGCACGCAGAATTTGCACTTCTTGCTGGAGTATCGATTCGTCCTCTGGCATTTGCTACATGACCAACATTTTTCCTGAGGACTGCTGGCTGGCTGGCTGGCTGGTGCTGGACTGCGCCATCGAGCTGTGGTGTCGGTCGAGCAGTTCTCTGGCTACTGCAATGCGGAGGAACGCTCTGGCGATCCCCCTCTGTGCTCTCAGGTGGCGGTGCCACGCCTGCTTGAATGAGCGGTGCGTGGTGGCGATCGTCCCCTGTTGGGGCACGGCCGTGCAGACGCTGGAATGGCGGGTCGGCGCGTCTTGCAGCAATCCCGAGAGGCTCGCAGGTTCCTGGAACCTGCACC